GGCCTGAGCAATGTCACTCCGGGAAATCCTTTCTTTTACAAAACACTGCTCCCACTCTGGGTATGTGTCAAGCTCCAGAAAATGGCAGTGAAAAGATATTTTCCCAAATACTTTATCCCTACTGGAAGCAAGACTCTTTTCGATTGTGATGTTTATACAGTGATGTTTAGAGTCTAAATGCTAACATTCTTTGTGCCCCTGAGAGCGCTGGCTGCAATACCCAGCATGGAGCAGACACTCAGGAAGTCATAATATGCAGCATAGAGCAGATGCTCAGCAAATACTCAGTGACCAAGGAGATCAATGTAAAGTGAATTAGTAAATTAACAAGGAAGCAGACATTTCTGCCAGGAGTTTCTTAACCTTACGGCCAGCTTCTTGACACCATAGGTCATGCCTCCAAATGTGACAGGAGTAGTGCACCTTTATGTTTCTGGCTATGCTTTGAGATCAGCAGCTAGCCCAGTGTGTTGCACTGGTAGGTGATCAGTCAAATTGAATGAACTGCGTTTGTGGGTATAATGAGAGAAAAGCACTTTGGCTTTCATAACTTGTGTGTGTGTGTGTGTGTGTGTGTGTGTGTGTGTGAGGAAGATTAGCCCTGAGCTAACATCAGATGCCAATCCTCCTCTTTTTGCTGAGGAATATTGGCCCTGGGCTAACATCTGTGCCCATCTTCCTCTACTTTATATGGGATGCCGCCACAGCATGTCTTGAGAAGCCATGCGTTGGTCCGTGCCCAGGATCCAAACCTGCGAACCCCGGGCCGCCGAAGTGGAGCACGCAAACTTAACCACTATGACACCTGGTTGGCCCCTATAACTTTTGAATGTAGTTGTCATCCATATGTTTTGAATCTGATGTGGGAGTGGCAAGGGAGGAGGAATAGCACTACTGCTAACATTTATTTTTGGCTGCATAGAATAGTTACGTAGTGTTCTTCAGCAGAGTCTTAGAAAACTGATACATTTTAGTTTAAAATCTTCTACAAACCAGCAATCAAAGGAAGCCCTAAAAGCCTTTGAGAGATGAGACAGAATCAAGAAGGTGATTTAAGCTTAAGATGTCCTAGGAAAGTGAGCAATGGTTAGACCTTTCAACTGTGCATCAGCAAGATGGTTCTTAGCTGTGCATTAGCAACATGGTTCTTAATCTTCACTTTTCCTGCTCAGTGGGCTCAAGGAAGTCTCCTTGATTCTGGAATGAAATGTAAACAGGTTGAAACGTGAAGAAGGAATGGTGAATAGAGACATAGTTTTGGAAACACATCTTAACTGTGTTTTGAAGGCAGAGAGTGGAAATGCCATGAGGGTCTCAGATTTTCAGCTATCATTAGAAAGGACAGACAATTTTTGATAAATACAGATCAGCTGGGATTGCAAAGTTTTTGAATGCCGACTGGAAGTGGTTCCAGGCTTGTAGGTTCTCTCAAGTGGTTGAAATAGGAACAGTTAAGACTTTGTCTTTTTTTGTGGAGAGGAAATAGTTTAAACTCTTACTTAGCATCTACAATAGGACAGTGAGCTATAAATAATCCAGACGACTTGAATTTGCTGTTGTGCTTGAATGTTTTTATGGCCCTGTTTCTACCATGACAAATATGATTATTCTCTCACTTGAATGCACACACATTTTTGTATATGAATAGGTGCGATCAGATATTCACTGAACGTAGGTTGATAGATAAAATACTTTATAAAACAAAAATCTTAATGTATGCTCCACAAATTTTGAGTTTTTGATAATTTGGACAGGGACCTAGCAGCAATTTCCTTTAGTATTATCCATAAAGATAGGGCTTGCTGAGCAAGTTAATAACAAAGACAAGATTCAGGAAGAATATTTAACTATGTAGCAGAAAACATAACTTGCAGTGAGTTCTTGGACACATGCTTTCTGATACAAACATTTGTAGTAGTGCTAAGTGCTAACCTATTCATTAATTCAGATTGGTCCACTACAGAGTTATTCAGAAATTTTTAATTTTGCGTGATTAAGTACATCTGAATCTTCTCCACTGGTTTTGAGTACAGGGAGCTAGCTCAGGTTATGTGGGCCCTGTGGCCAGAGCTGGCTGTGGGAGCCTGTCTAGCCTATACATGATGGGCAAGAAATTGTTATTCTTATACTTAATTTTGTCAGTGAGCAAGATACTCTAGAGTTGACCATGGTGTCAGTGGGATGCTAGTCACTAATATAACTTCTTTGGAGTCACCAGTGTGTCCTTTGGAGGGCTAAGTATGAGAGAAGCAGGTGGCAGGGGCATTAATCTCTGATACCATATAGACTAAGGTTTAGGCTTGGCTTAATGGTAAATATTTGTCAGGAGGACCACTAAACATTGTCTTTTTGAACATATTTGTACACTGCTCAATACCAATGGGCTTATACTGTTGGCCATTGGAAGGAGCCATTCTATTTTAGGGAGACATATTCATTACCAACAGGATGATATCTTGGTTGTTAGGGAGCAGCAGTGTATCTGAAACCCAAATGTCATGTTAGAGCAGTTAGGGCTTTGGGAATGGTTCCTTTACTTACTTGGTACTCAAGAGTTTGTCCTTGCCTTGAATACATTACCACAAGTTTCGTGAATGTTCACATAGGATGTTCAAGATGTTTTTGGAAAGGTGGGACATTTGGCTGGAAGTTGTCTGTATTTTTTGACCATTTGTAGTTGATATAGGATGACAAGCAGAGTTACCCATGGTGGGCTTTTTTTGTTGATCTTTTTCTGTCATATTTTTGGAGCACTTAGTGGTAGGTTAAGTTTTCAGTTCTACCTTGACTTCTTACATGTAGGCTGTGGTGATCTCAGTGCACTGTCCTGGTGCTATTCCTCATGACATGACTTTCTCTTTCCCTACATCAGTGATTTGCTGTCTTACTGTCTCTTTTTACTTACTTTCTGCTAGCAGAATCTCTGGAGGCATCTGGTTTGCCCCAAAGCAGACAGTGTGTACTTGGAAGTGTTAACATGTAAAGAATTGGGGTTACAGATTTATCACTTTGTGAGACTAATTAAAAGGTGCTAAGGTGTCTTCTTCATGAACGGTGTGTTTGCAAAGCCTCAGAACTTGTTTGGGGAGTTCTTGGACTGAAGTTCAGAATGGATGGCTGTGAAGTTTTCAAGCCAGAAACGACCCTACCTAATTTAGCTTGTGTAAGGTAAATAGCAGGCACTTCATGTTAGCTGTAAAATGTAATCAATAGGAGGAGAATGTGGAAGCAATTCTAGCCAATCAGAAGAAGGATAGTGCTAGACTGTGATTATAAAAATGGTTTCTTTACCATCTGAATTCCATGTAGTCGGGAACACAAACATCTCACACTCACTTGTACAGTTTCATAATTAGCCCTGGATGAAAATACTTGTCCATAGATGGCTAGGTATGTCCTGAAGAAGGTGTTCAGATAGTATTTTCTGGAAAAGAGAACATAAGATCTAAGGCCTGCTCGAAGTTATTGCATGTGATTTTCGCATTGCCTATGTTGGTTGTCCAGTTATACTGTAAGGCCTCATGACAATTCTCCTCAGTCCAGCTGACCCAAGGAATCTGCTGGTGATTCTACTTTAGACAGGTGAATAAGAACATAATTGCAGGTATGAGGAAAGCAGGACTAAAGATCCTAGCGATGGTGTTGTTCAGTATATAATTCACCCATGTTGACCTTAACCAGTTTTTCTATAAACCATGTGATGATGCATTAAGAAATAGAAAGTAGAAATATGTTAATTGGGACTTAATAAGAAATTTATATATGTTAATAACAGACCCTTGAATGTTGACTTGGTTTTACTGCTGGTACAATGGCCAAAAGGTCACCAGGCCATTGGTTTCTTTCATTTTTTAATGTGGGGCTTTCTTCACTCTGGGTGGATTATACTGACCTTGAAACTTTGAGCATGCCTCCATAGGAACTGTGAAGCCAACAATGGAGCCAACAGAAACCTCTCCATTCATCATATCCTGTTTCTTGTATATCTTTTATACTATGTGTTTGCTTGTTCAATAGTAAAGCATAGTAAATACAATCTTGAACTGAGTCTCAGTCATCATTTTAACCAACTTTCAAAAATTATGATGAGTTTTTTATGGTCTGGTTCAGCATGGCTTTAAATTTTCAATTACCCTGCACTTATAATAAGAATTGGGATTGCTTAGAACATACCAGGTCATCTTGGCTTGTTGGAGCTGGGGGTAGCCAGTTCTTTGGTATCTGCTTTAAACTGTGTTAGTTTAGGCCCCCACATGGGGTAGAATGTGAAGGCACTGGTGGAAACCAGTGCCACGTGAAAGAAGGAACATAACTACATGTGGAGTGAGGTAGATTGATTTACTTTTAGTGGCCTGAGTATGAAGTCTTCTAGATTTCTGGACATCAAGAGCTATTCATCTGTTATTGGGTCAAGGGCCAGATAGTGTCTCTCACTTTCTTATTCACTTATTGTGGTTGCCCTGTGGGGTAATTCTATGACAGGAGGATTAGTATATAATATGCATACACTTGAGACACTGTTCATTATGCTCTTCGGCTATGTATTGAAAGTCTTCCACGTGTTTAATGATTTCAGTTGAAGTGGGGAAATTAATCAGAATGGAATCTAGTATTGCAGTGGAAAGGAGATTTAGGGTATGGGAGTAGAGTATGAGTTCTATCCAAGCATTTCTCTGATAACCTAAGTAAGTTTTCTTGATTTTTTCCAGTAGCCACCTTGCCTTGGGAATCAAGACTCTGCCCTCATGCAACCACGGACAGCTCTTGAAGGATATTGGTTTTATCACTGAAGAGCTGGATATCCGGAATCTGAAGAGGCTCTGGTAGAAAACCAACATTAGAAACAGGATCATTCTGTATAGAGAATTAAAGAACCATTTCTTTGGTATTGTCTCCACAAGTGAACTTGCAAAACAAGTTGGAACTTCGAGATTGTCAATAATTCCGGATACGTATATTTCAATAATTCCGGATACGTGTATTTTATTTGTAAAAAAAGCATGGCTCCTCTAATTGTACGTGGTTTTGCCCAAATATGGGACAGGAATATTGGGATGTCTAAGTCGAAAGAAGCATTCATTCAAACAGTGGAAGAGAAGAAGAAACTTAGACTGGTGGTCTGTTTCAACACTGGAGAGTATACAACTTTTCAGCTAATTAATAATATTAAAAATGTGGTTTTTAGATCTTATGGAGAAAACCAAAATCACCTGCATTTAACTTTCCAAAATGATAACTTCTTGTTTATTGAAAGATTATCTTCCAGAGATGCTGAACAGTTGAAGATGTTCCTGGATAGAGTCCATCAAAATAATCTTCAACCACCCATGAGACCTTGTAGGGATGGAGGTGTCTTTGCTGGCACAACAACACAGAAGGAAATCAACAAAACTTCATTTCACAAAGTGTGTAAGAGGTCAAGTAGTGCAGCTTATGAGACAGGAGAAGGAAACGGTATACCTGACCTCAAGAAGATGCCTTTGTTTACATCAAAATTATCAACACTTACCTGCAAAGAGTTATTAGAAAAGCAATGTGAGAAGAGGAAAAAGATGCTATCATCTGATTCAGAGATGAATGAGAACTTCCCAAAGGAGAATAACTCTGTCAGAAACAAGAAATCCAAGAGAAATCCCTTGAAGTATGCAAGCCACAATGAGAAGAAAAAATTGAAGATAAAAGAGTTGAGAGAGAGTGAGAAATTACAATTTGGACGTAAATTCAAGACCGATTTTACTGGAAACCCTTTCCTAGATGGCACTGCTCTTTCCCAAATTCTGTATGAGAAAATGTATTTGGCATTTCTGTTGGAACCAAAGTTTAGTGAGGATGACCCAGAGTGGAAGAAACTCAAGATGACCTTTGACAGTTACCCAGAAAAACTATGGGAAGGCCTCCCCAATTTGGGCAACACCTGTTACATGAATGCAGTTTTACAGTCCCTATTTTCGATTCCATCATTTGCTGATGATTTACTCAATCAGGGTTTCCCATGGGGGAAAATTCCCTTTGATGTTAGCACGTGCTTGGCACAGCTGCTTGTTTTGAAAGATATTTATAACGTAAAACTCAAGGAAAAGTTACTTGTGAAGATTAAAAAGACCATTTCAGCAGTTGCAGGGATATTCTCTGGCAACAAACAGAATGATGCTCATGAGTTTTTAGGTCACTGTTTAGATCAGATAAAAGAGCACAAAGGCAAAATAAACAGTATTTGGAAGACTAAAATTGAATCTGAGGAAGAAAATTCACCTCAACCGATTTTTGCTAGCAATGCTGCCACCGAAGTCCCGGTTTGTCCTGTCATCACTAATTTTGAGTTTGAGTTGCTGTGCTCTATTATTTGTAAAGCCTGTGGTAAGGTTGTTCTCAAGAGAGAAGTGAGTAATTATCTCTCCATCAACCTTCCCCAAGGAATGAAAGCACTTCCTTTGTCTATTCAATCTACTTTTGATCTTTACTTTGGAGTGGAAGAGCTTGAGTATAAATGTGAGAAGTGTAAGCACAAGAGTTCTGTTGCAGTGCACAAATTCAGCAGGCTGCCCAGGGTCCTTATTGTTCATCTGAAACGCTATAGCTTTAATGAGTCATGGTCTTTAACGAAGGATGACCAGGAAGTCGTTATTTCCAAATATTTGAAATTGTCTTCTCATTGCAATGAAAGTACCAAACCAGCTCTTCCCTTGAGCAAGAATATACGTACTAGGGATTTCCAAATCTTAAAGATCCTTCAAAAGATGCATTCTGAAGCCATCAGTTCATTGACTGCTTCAACGAATTTGGCCTCGGAATCCAGGAATTCCGTGACTCCACACACTGGATCAGACAAAGAACCCGAACCACAAAAATACCAAATTGTCAATAAAGGAACAGGCAGAGAACAGCAGAAAAAAGAGCTGGAAAAATATTCTAAACTGAATATAATAGAATCCAAATTGGTAAACTCAGGACATGGAAGAATCATTGAAAAAGAGCTGTTAGCAGCTGGCTTGATGACGGGTCTGAAAGACGCCTCCCTTTCTCAGACCCGTGGAGGTGAACGTAAGTCCACCAGCAGTCCGGGTACTTGTCTTGCAGTTCATTCTCAAGAAGTGCTTGAACATCTAAAACTAAACAAATATGAGAAAACCCATATGCTTGTACATTTTGAGAATGTCACTGAGACTACTGAAGATTTTTATGGAGACAAAAAACCCAGAATTCCAGAAGGATTCCGAAGAGTGGCTCAACAGATCCAGCAGTGTAAAAGGATGAGACTCTACGAACAAGCCCTTCAGCAAGCACTGCTTCAAAGCCTTCCGAAGCCAGATGCCCAGTGGTACACAGAGAGCCTCAGAAGACCCACAGAATTAAGTCTCCAGGAGGCCAATGTGAATTCCCTAGGTGCATTGGGTTCCAATAAAAACCCTGGAAACAAAGACCTTTTCGATATGGAGAAGACAGAAGCTAAAGCCAAGAAACCAAAAAGAAATGCCGAGATGGGAGATAGTCATGCCTATCGGCTCATTGCTGTTGTCAGCCACCTTGGGAAGACCCCAGATTCAGGCCATTATATCAGCGATGCCTATGACTTTGAGAGGCAAGTCTGGTTCACTTATAATGATCTGCAGGTAGCAAGTATCCAAGAGGCTGTGATGCAGGAGGCTAGGCTTTGCACGGGGTACATCTTCTTTTACATGCACAATGAGATCTTTGAAGAGCTGTTGGGAAGGGAAGGGAAGTCCCAGCCTTTTAACACAAAGGCTGGGGAGACCCCTCAGGGGGAGTAAGAGGAACAGACTTCTGCTTGCACAGATCTGCTTGACTGCCTCACTGGCTACCACTTCCTCCGTGGAAGGAACTCTGAACTCTAGCCAAAGATGAAGAGGCAGTTAGCTTCCAGGACCAAAGTTTAAGCAGAAACACTTATGGAGAAATCTCCTTTCTAACCCTGATACAGACACCTCAGTCCCACAGTTACAGCTGATAAGCATTAATTCTCTCCCATTAGACTAGAATTGTGCTTTCCATATTCTAATGCAATGGCTTTTAATTGCAACGTCAGGAGCGTGGAGGAACTTGTTAGGAATAAAAACTCCTTGCATTCTACCACAGACCTGCAATTCAGAACCCCAGGGTCGGGGTCAGCAATTTGATGGAGAGTCTGATGCTTGAAAAAGTTGGAGAGCCACTACTGTAGTGTATAGAGTATCTTGGTGTATTTTGCTATTGTACATTTGAATTGTTTATATTTTGTAAACAGGGATGATTACGTTTTTTGCTTCTTATATTCACGTATGCCTTTCCATTGTAAATTTATTAAAGTCAAAGCACACACACACACACAAAGTCATTCTTCTGCTGATCATACTCAGCAATTTGATGGTGAAAAAATAGTTTCTGGAGTCCTGGCAAAGAAAAAAACCCACAACCATTTGCTGAGTTCCTGGCAATAAAAAAAATAGTTGCTGGGGTTCTGGCAATAAATGGTAAATGAAGCTGGTAACTTATGAATCCTCTTGGGCAGATAAAGATGAGACTGAACGCCAAGTCAAGTCTCTAAATTGTTTGCCATACTGCCTTCTTTTCCCCAAGGCCAAAGGGGCTATATACTCTTAAGCTTAAACCTTGAGGATAGAGTTGATTTGCCTTCAAGAAGTTGACCCATTTTTCCTGTTCCTCTGCTAGCAAGCTGTTCCTAGTGATCTGAGGCCACCGTGCCATTTTGGTCTTCTCAGAGAAACGCATGCATTGCCACAAAGGTACATTGATTAGCAGAACTTTATCTGAAGCCTTGAACAATCCTCTTCATTCAACATTACAAGACTAATTCCAGATTTCTTTTGTTTCTCTGTGCCTTATAGCATGGTGGTCTTATTCCTTTAACAAGTAAACAATATATGCTTTAAAGTGGACTGTAGGATTTGAAAGTCAAACTTGTTACTGATTTGATACCGTGTCAAAAAACTTGTGCCTGAATATGATGTACTTCTGGGTAAAAGTCTCCTGGATCCTGGTCATATTCTGTAGGAGCTCAATATTATTCAGGGACTTGATAATTCTGATGTTATGCACATGCCATCTCTGTAACCTAGCCTTTTCCTGCCTTTGAGGCAATGAATCTGTAACGCGTTGTACCTTTGTTATAAACAAATGACTTGTACTAAAAGGCTTCCCCACATCACATAGAGGGATTGAATTTTCGGTCCCACTTTTACCAATAATGGTGTTTCCCCTTGTGTATGGGGTATGGTCTTAGTACAGCTGTATTAATCCAAGAGATTGTCGATCCTCTTAATCCCAGAGGCCTTTACAGAGATAAACTGGAATTTAGTGCTGTGGGAAATTAGAAAGATGCCCTCTATGGGGAAAACCCGACTCCGAAGTTTGGGAATTCTATTGTTCAGAACACAGTGCATCTAGAAGGAGGCTTGAATGGGACCTGAAGATTGCTAAGGTAGATAAGAGTTTCCCAGATTGAATTAATCACTCTTATGAAAGAAGGTGTTGCATACATAATAATGAAAGATTTGTTCAACTTTTGTAGTACTTCAGCAGCTGGAGAGCTTGAAGGATAAGGGTGGAGTTAGATTTAGAAGAGGGGAGTGATAGTTCGGTTTCCCAATTTCAGGCTTTTGACTTCTCTAGAATAGTTAAATCTAAGCCCAGTTACATAGGCATCGAAGCAGGAGTTTTGGTAAGAGTGTGGGAAAGTTAGTTAGTTTTGAAAGGAAAATAAAGATGCTAATAGTTTTACAAGATTTTAAAATTTGGAGTGTGAAGTATGGAGTATTAGACATCCTGAATATGCTGCTCTTTAGCATGTAGCGCTTCCAAATGCAGGGCGAATCAAAAGGTGAAGAAGATGGTTGGGGTAGCCCTGACAGGGAGGACCTGTCCTCCTGGACAAGAGGGCTTGAGTGTAATCCATCATCGCCCTGTGAGAAGAAATTCTGAGTGCACAATGAGTGGCTATATGCCATCTACCCTGTTATATTGTTATTTCAAATAAAAGATAAAAATAATTCTTCAGTGACTCAGTGGCTGTTATTTATTATGGATTTTAATTGGTTCTCTAATTTACGGATCAGGTTTCCAGGTAATCCATGGATATGAAAACTTTCTTTGACACTCAGTGTATTAGTTTTCTATTGCTTCTGTAACAAACTACAACAAACTTAATAGCTTAAAACAACACAATTTTATTTTCCTACAGTTCTGGAGGTGAGGAGCCTGAGATGGGTATCACTGGGCTAAAAGCAAGATGTTGGCAGGGCTACAATCCTTCTGGATGCTCTAAGGGGACTATCATCTGTCTCCTCACCTTTCCCAGCTTCTAGAGGCTGCTCACATTCCTTGGCTCATGGCTTCATTCCTCCACCTCAAAAGCCAGCAATGTCGGACTGAGTCCTCACACTGCCATCTCTGGTTCTCCCTCTTCTGCCTTCCTCTTCCACTTTTAAGAACCCTAGTGAGACTTGGCCTAGCCAAATAATCCAGGATAATCTCCCTATTTTTAAGATCAGTTGATTTGCAACCTTAATTCCCATTTGTCTTGTAACAATAAATTCACAGGTTCCGAGGATTAGGATGTGGACATCTTTGTGGGGTCCTTACTCTGCCTACCACACAGTAGTAAAAATTAATGGAAAATTATCACAACAACAACAAAAGCAGAATGATTCAGGATTCAGACCCTTGGGGAATGGTTTTGGTCACCCCACCAGGTAGAGAACCCAAAGCATCTGAGGTTTTAGCCGGGGGTGAGGGAAAATTGTAATTGGTAATCGAAGAACTAAGACCTTGAGATCAATTACAGAAACAAGGGCTATAGTAGCTTTGCATATTTTCTCTACATTTATTATATGTATGTGTCTATTTGTATATACTCGCCATTTTCTTTTTCTCTATCCTGCTTTCTATTTTTTATTTTATGCACAAGTTATTGGAGGTTGACTCTACAATTTAGTCTTTAGGTAACAGAATATTCAACGGGTGCCTGACTGAATTTGAGGAGTAATTAATAAAGCCCACGACAGAGGCAATGACTTGGGACTCTGAGTCATCTAATTTGGGGGAAGGGTGATAATGTATAAAAGGACTGGGATGGCTCCTAGGTAGAAATGTAGAGTTGTTTTGCTGCTGTAAGAGAGTGCAAATGTATGTAGAAGGGTGCATTTGGAAGCTGAGAAACCAAAGGGATGGGCTGTTCCAGTTATCAATGTATTGCCTCTCAGCTCGAATTCACCCTTCAATACATGCTCTGCAATAATGGACGGAATTCCTTTAGTCATTTCTCCTTTACAGTAATCACATGTTGAGCTTTCTCAGTAGAAGGTGCAAGCAGTACGTTGGAAGTGGAAGGGGCTCTCTTGCTGTTTCCAGTTGTTGAGGTGGGTTAGCAGTACGAGATGTGATCGTGAGACTATCTGGTGGCGCACTAACCCAGCCACAGAACCAGAATGGGTGGTCCCTGATGGTTTCACAGCTCCAGCCTGGCCTGGCAATGACTTTCCTGCTGCCATCTCAACTTGGACACCATGAACTCTAGGGCTCTGGCCTGCACCAGGGCCCTGACTCCCTTTGATCACGTGCCCTTCCCAGGTTTGTATTCCATGGTCCTTCTAATGCCCAGCCCTCCTGCCAGGAATCCACACACTCCAGGCCTCCTGCCACACCAGCACCCTCAGTCCCTCTGCATGACTGCGTACCTGGCCATGGGTTGTAGATCTACTTGTGCCCTGGGGGGTTACCATTGGGGACCCCACTCCCTCTGCGTGCCCGTGCATCCATGCTCTGGCTGAGGCTTGTCTGCATCCTGACTGCACTCCACCTACTCTCCAGATGGTTGCTTCCTGCTTGCCCACTGACTGCAGACCATGTCTGACCCAGGCCAACCAGCAAAATTCTCTGCCATCCAGTAGGCTGCGACTACATCTTCAACAAGATCTGAACCCTAGGCCTGGAGATCAGGGCCCCTTTCCAAATTCGTCCTTTTTTGGATACTCTCCCTCAGCCCTAGAATACAATGTAGATTACAATATAGATTTTTCTTATATCCTATAGTTACTCTTATCATAGGTTAATAATTCTTTATATTCATGTTCTATGTAGTTTCTATCTCATGATTGGACACAGACTGATACAAAGGCTGAGCATGTGAGGTATTCCAGCTCTAATATTCCAATTAAATCCAATTAAATTCCAATTAAATAAAGATTTTAATATGAGATTCTTTGTTTTGATTATATTTAGTGTTGCTTATTGGTGTAAAACAGTGCAAAGAATGCTGGATGGAGAACCATAATACTCCAGTTGCTGGTGCAACCTCTGGCAAGAGATGGCTATCAAGCAAGCACCCCTTGTTTTCATGCTTCATCTGCTATGTGGATAATAATAAGGACCACTAGATGGTTTTTATCGGGTGATTGCCGTTCAGACAGTTTCATGCATGTCAATGACAGGGGCCTTGGGCCATAACATCCCTCTCTCGTGTCTACACTCTTCTCCTGTCTACCTGGTTATACTTCTGCTCCCCATGTTGACCCTACCCAGTAAAAATATTTCAGAAGAGAAGTTATAGGGAAGTACAGTTCTGTGACCTAGCAGAATGCATTGTTTCCCACTCTGAAAGTTTGAGTGGCAGGCCAGCAGCAGTAGGACCGTGACCTTCAGGTGACGTTGATCACCACTTGGATTCGGTGGTGGTGCATGAGTAGTACAAGGAGACTCACACCTGGCACCAGGCGCTGGGCATCACTGTGCTGGGCAGCAACAGCACTGTGTCCATGCAGGATGAGGCTCTCCCTGCCTGCAAGGTGGAGTTCTGGCCCCAACACCCACCCCTCATCCCAGAATCTGCAACTGTCCTGAGGTTCACCTGTGTCAGAAATAAACCAGGTACTCTGCTCAAAAAAAATATGAATATTTCATACCTGAGATTACCACAAGA